TCACTATGTCTAGTTATATCAGTAACTTTTATTACGTTGGAAGAACGCGAAGACTATCCCAATGCCTTTTTTTCTTTTGCGTAGTTCATTCCCATCTTTTTTTCCGATGAAGTTGCAGCTGCATGCTTAGAAGTTCATCTTATCGTTAGCTTCTCTTTTTTCTTTTGAACACAACTTTACATACTACAACTTCCCGCGACTTACTACACAATACACATGCGTATTTTTGCAACTCATTTAAGCACACGACTGCCTGGAATCTGAAGTTGCCGAGGACAGGACCACCAAATAAAGCTAACATGCTCAGCTTTGGTGTTCGGGCTGCTTATGACCACATTTGCACTTGCCGTTTGTGTGCTTGATCCAGCAACGCGTAGATTACATTGAAAAGCAGTCGTTAAAGCTTTCTCGGAATGTGGCAAAGACTTTTCATGTAACAAGCTGTTTGCCACAGGTTTGCCCAGTCAAAGTCAGAAGCTCAGAATAAGTTATCAAACATATAACTTATTGTACGTAGAAGGCAAATATGCGAAAACATCCTCGCTTTGCGTACTACCAAGAATTTACCATGATCAGCGCATTGATGCTCCAATACACGAGTGGTAATTGGGCACAAATGAATCAATTCTGTTTATTTGAACATTCATATTGATGTATTATTTTGATTAGTAAACCCTGAATATGTACAATATTCGGAATGGCTTGCGTCTTTTGTAGCGTATATCTTTGCTTTATCTTGCAGCATTACCTAGGTATATGCGATTGGGTTTCTTGTTTCCATCATTACGTACATACCTATATGCGACTGATGCATACATTTTTTTTTTGTCATGGATAATACTTAATCTGGCTTGTCATGTGTAATTTGTATACATTTTTTTCATGTGCCACAAAATAAACATTTTGGCTGCATTGTTCCGTCGACCATTCAGATAGAACAGCAAGTTGTTCTCCCAAGGGGTGATGGTCTGTAGGTACCCTTTCCCCGAAACAGTGGCAGCTTGATATGGGCGGGCTTGTAAACTCATTGTTGTGGAATTAAACGGTGACAGCAGGAATGCCCCGTGGACACAATCAGTCCTGTGAGATTACGCTGAGACGGAGGTGGTTACACGCCAGCTTTACGGCTTTGACCTCGCGCAATAGGAGGTAGGCTCGCTGGCAAAGCACGTGTGCTGGATATTTAGAACCTTGGCGTGTGCCACTTAGGAATTTTGTTGATTGTGACGATTGGTCAGGTGACGACACAAATCAGGGCAGAGTCCAATAAAGGCACCAATAGGTATACCAAAATCGCATAATCAGCGGTAAAAGGTTGAGCTTTTTTTCTTGGGTGAGGTCACTTGGCGTGACCTGGTGACCTGACCTAAGGCGACCTGGGTCTGAAATTTTCACAAAATGTGCGGAAAAATGCACGAAAAGGTGTGCAAAAAAAAAAACGGCGGCGCTCCGCGCCGCCGTTTTTGAGATATCTGCGAAAAACCGCAGGGGGAGGGGGGTTCAAACACCCCCCGGCCCGGCGCGGGTTAATATCGCTCCGAAAACGTGCATTAGCTGTAATAAACCCAAGCTGCAGTTTCGGCAAAAACTCTGTAGTTTTCTTTAGCACTGCAGTTTTTTTAGTTCTTTAGCACCTGTGCAAAGAAGTATTTAACGAACTTCGGTCTTAATGGATACACTTTTCACAGTTCCCGGTTCAACTTTTATGAATCTTGTTATCGTTGTCACTTACCACAAACATTATGAGCGTGCCGCAAACCATTCTAATTTCTAACCATTCTGTTAGATCTTCAGAGCAAAGGGAATTATAGAAATAAGCATCTACAGCCAACTTATCGCACACTACTACTCGGATTATTTCATTCCATTACGACAGAGGGCCTAATATTACCATATTCAATTATATCCCCAAAGAGCAACCTAACCCTTGTCTGTCTATGACCCAATGATAATCTCTGGGCGATTCACTGCACCAATCCCTTAGCTCAACGTTTTCAATCCGCCTGAGTTTTCACCCTCAGTGGCCCGAGACCGAGCAGATATCATTCGCTAAAGCCAAGACGACTGTCAAAGTCTGCCGCGTGGAACTCCGTTCAGACAGTTGTGAGGGGAGAGGGGAGGGGGGGGGAGGGTCACGGGTTACTGGCTTATCCGAAAGGGACTTTGACCCAAAAGACAAAGAGCTGATTTTCAACAGTACGCATCTGTTGGTGCGTAAAACGAAATGAATTACTCTGACAGCCGTCTCCTTCCGCAAAATGCTGAATGATTTCGTGATTAAATAGCATGGGGTTGAGATGGGATTGTAGGGACAAAGGGGTCATCAGAATTCGTTGGGAGGTGGAGGTGAGAAGTCGTCTGTGGTGGTGGTGGTGGGGAGGGGGAGGGGGACTCACTGCAATATCCGCCTTGGCTGGACAGCGCCACCACGGCTGACCAGTTCGCCTCTGAGCTGCAGGAAACTCATTTGGAGCGGCTTTGAAAAGGCAGAGAGTTGTTCGATGCAGCTGTGCGGTGCATTTAGGAGCTGTAATTGCAAAGCTGAAGCTTTGTTGTGATCTGTATTGAATGGTTAATAGAAATGTCCGTCGGGATTCTGTTTGGGATGAACACCAGCTTTCCTGTGGAGTGTAGAACTGTTCCAAAGTAAGTGTAGGCCTATGCTAACGTTCGTCAAAATGTGCAACCATTTTTATTTCAGAATAGTGCATTGTTTTGATCGGAGTAGCTGTTGCAACTTGTAAACGATTGCACCAGTAACCTATCAATAAAAAATGGATCTGAAGGTTTTTTATGTTTTCACGCTTTCATGTATTTACATCGTTACATGACAATATCAGATATATTGACTCATTGTCAAACACTGCAACCAAATAACTATGTCTCAGGAACACAGCACATCTGATACAGCGGACAATCAAGAAAAGTGTCAGAAAAGAGAACTACAAATACAGTAAAACACAACATATACCACCCGCCACGTAAGTCATACATTTGCAGCAACAGATTGCGCGAATATCTTCTGCAGCTAAACGAACACCGAACAGGCAGCAATAAACTCTGTCTCTTCACAAACCAACAGCCAACGCAACAGTAGCCGATAGTGTTACCGGGTAGGTATGACCCACTGCTCGAAAACGTATACCTGATAACACGTTATCACAATTTTCCGTATGGATTTCAGTCCAGTGCCGTCATCATATTTACACACGAATCCAAACACACACGCAAACAATGGCAAACGCGTACACAAAACAGAGGTCACACGAACACGCCTATTATGTGTCGGTGTTTAGCCGTGTTTGCTCACGCGTATCTTTTTACGTTCAAATTTTGATGAAGTTTATATTGTAGAGCCACGTTTCTGAGCTTCATTTGGATCGTTGTTTATTGTTGTTTTGGACGCCCTGACAGCCGGTGTTTCACGTTTATTTCCACTCGCATTGTTGCACGTTAAACGTATGATGCTCATATGTCCCAGTCGACCGTTTGATGTTTAAGTTGTGTAATGCACCACGCTATCGTGTTGTCGTTTTGCACTCAGGCACACGTCCGTGGCCGAAAGTGCCACGTTATTTTTTAGCACGCTGCGGCAAAAACAGCAACAACAGCATTAGCAGCAGCCCTGACGGTACTGTGGTCGTCATTCGTGTTCAGAGACATGAGCAGTGAACTCGTCATTTCCGGAGCCCTTGCTGAGGCTAAAACTATGCAGTTTGGATTGTGTATCTCACTAGTGGAGCCAAACGCGACAGGGATGTGGTGCTGGCTGCAAAATGGGGTTCTTCTTCACGCTCGACATAAGATAGGCCGCTGGTCGTCATTGATTTTATGTGCAAATAAAATGAACGCTAGTTCGGCAGATACTATGCCTACAGTTGAACACTTCGCACCCCCAATCAAAACCATCGAATGAACAACATCCGACACCTCAATCATCCATATTAGCATGTCACTCTCACATTGTCTGTCGACCTGCACTTACATACAATCTACTCACATGACTATTTACAAATAAACAAATATCTACGCGTCGGACACCACATGTGTCCACTTCTTTACGCACGCTGGCAATGCAGCATATCACCCTCGCAGTTCTAAAATTTCACCGCGGCTACAAACTCATTACTCGCGGCGTAGGTTCTCATCCAGTCAAGTCACGTGGGTCATTCCAACTGTTATTTTCCCTTTCCCACTGACCCCAGCGGACGGCAGACTTATCTTTCCGCAGCGAATGGTCCCAGTTTTCGCCGCGACTTTCGCGATTTTTTTCGGCGGCATTTACGTGAGCTGGATTACGATACAGTGGCTCAGCTTACGAAGGACGTGTTGCTTCCCCTGGGGCACTGTTGAGGCTCTAAGTTGATGACTTGTCACGGAGCTTCACCATGTTTTCGCTGCCAGCCTGTTGTGACCCGACTCGTTTTAACTGCTGGGTGTTCCTTTTTCACTGTCACCCTGCTGTGACCACTAGTTTTACGTTCAGGGCCACGTCAGATCTCGACTTTGGTGAGGAACTTACCGCTGGTCGTGACCGGAGTATGAACTGTTGAGTGAGCGTGGGGCGAATAGATGCGCAGTGCATACCAACCTCGGTACCGCATACAAGAAATAGAGTGCCCGCAACTATACCGTCAATCCGGGTATACGACCATGCGTCATGATTCTTGATTTTGTGCACTAAATACTCGACAAAGCCATTTTTGCGACGGCTTATCTGCTCAAATCGGTCCGGATAAGGCCATATCAGGTCAGATTGGGCTATTTGTTGAAGCAATTAATGGTGAATATTTGTTTTGATCTTTTAACCTGACGTTTTATCCTATTTAGTATAAATATACTAACGAAACATGGGAGCTACACTTTTTGTCTGCGGGATGAAAAACTACTTGAATACAACTAACAACCTATGTTAACCTAAGCCGGCCCAATTGAACGAAATCTGCACCAAACAGCAAAAAGCTCGTCCTAAAGTCGACTTATCAGTACCTGCCTGATTCTCACAAACAAGCGATTTATTCTCAATGCTCATTACTCAGTGCCCGATTGCCAGTGGCAAATCCCCAACAGTTTCTCAGAGTCTTATAATTTCGTCATTCAGCAAGGGACTGACCTTGCATCAGCTCAGTATGTAGGACTATAGGTACTGATATTTTTACACCAGTCCGGTACCGACTTATCCTTATCAGCACACGACATTGGCATGTCCGCATCAGCACAGTACTGAAATATCCGCATCAGCACAGCACACTGACAGTCACATTCAGTATTCGATGGTATGCGCGGGACAGTTTTTGGGAGGCGCCACCGATTTCCGTTTGAGGGAGGGCAGTCGAATGCTGCGTTTGGGCGAGGTTTCCGCTTCAGCCGCCTGGCTGTCCCGCAGACCCTGCTTCATGCTGTGGCTGATCACCTGAAGAACAAAGACACGGAAAAGGGTAAGTATAGCCTTCTGAACAAGCCTCAGCTTAAATGAAGGGAAGTTTTAGGGGGACAGGGTGAAACGATGACATATGTTCATGTGTGGTCACAACTCACAATATTTAATAACCGACAGACGCTGTTGAATGTTAATGAATGTGAGAGTCTAAAGACAGGTGGATAAATGGCCACAACGAGCTAATACAATTGGTTGATTATAGTGTCAAGAACAGTTCATTTCAATATAAGCCTCATACTAATCGTAATGAGTTTAGCCCATTTGCCATGCATATCCATGAATATGTTTAGATAATTATAAAGTGCTTTTTTACTAAGGGACTGCAATACATGTACTCGATTGCTAAGAGAAGGCTGGCAAAAAGACGCATTTGCAGTCCTGATTGCTTTGTCGAAGCCTGTGAGTTTTCTGACGACCTGTGAATGCTGGGCGATTTAGTCCAAGTTGTATTTGCTCACACCCAAACGAACGGTCTGTCAAAGTTGGTTCCGGGAATTGACGACCAACTTCCCTGACCTCGCTGAAGGTGAGACGATTGCCGATGATTTGCGGTTTTTGTATATTTCATGGGAGGTTAAATGTGCGCTGCAATTGCCATTATATACATGTATTTTTAACAATAAGTCTACAATGAGCTAAAAAATCGGCCCCCTCAGCCGGCGAAGTTTAACATAAGCTAATCATGAATGGAACGTAAAATACCTGCCGCTAATAGCATGATTACACATAGGGAGAAGATTCAACAAACACTGCCAAGAAACAGCCCGATCGGCAGGTAGATCACCAAACAGCGTTCAACATCGAAAACAAACAATGGCGCCCGAAAAACAAACACTGCCGACCTTGATGCTACTTGGCACCATCCAACGGTCAAGTCACAGAATGATCAGTCGTAAACAAGTGAGTGACTCGATTGTAGATCTGACCCGACTGTGAGATGCGTTACAGCTTTTACCATGCACGGAACATGCCCGCTGGGTGGTTAACGTTTGAAACATGTCACTGCAGCTTCCACCTATTCAGGGTATGGTTATGCCGGTCCTACCTGAGGGTGGAGACTTCCACTGGCGTCCAGCTGGCGTCTAGCTAAGCAGACGTCCAAGTTGGCGTCTAACTTGGCGTCTAACTGTTGGACGGAGACTTCCAAGCTAGACGCGTCTCAAGTTAGCTGTCGCCAGATAGACGCAGCCGCCGTCCAGCTAGACGCGAAATGGAAGTCTCCACCAAAGTGTTTTCTTCTGGTCATCTCTGTTGTCCTACCCGAGAGAGCTGCTCCAGGCCATCTATAAGTCTTACGAGAAAGTTGTCACCAGGTCCTGACTTCATCCAACATATGTTGGTCCCGCCCGAAATGTTTTTCTCCAGGCCATCTCTGCTGGTCTTACCTGGAATAGTTTTCTCCAGGCCATCTCGGCGCCATCACTCCACTGTTCCGCCTCCACAAGGCTGGGACGAATCACCATGATGAACTGTTGGCCCATTAGCTGAAGAGAGACGAGGGGTCGGTAAGTGCACTGGTCCATAAGACAGGGAGGGAGGGCGTAACTTTTCTGGTCCGTATGCCACGGAGAGGGGCGTAAACGTATAACTGACCCGTAAGACGCAAAGGGAGGGCGTAACTTTTTGGTCCGTAAGACACGATAGGAGGACGTTAGTGCAAGCTCGTAACACACAAAAGGAGAGTGCAAGTGCTCTGGCCGGTAAGACACGGAGCAAGGAGTAATTGCGCGGTCTTGGTCGTCGTCATGCAAGAAGGGAGGAAAACTGTGGTGGGCCACCAGACAAAAGCGAAGAGTAGCTGTAATGGGTCATTAGACAAAAGTGGGAAACGGAGGGATGGGGGCGTTACTGTCCAATCAAACAAGGAAGTGGGTTACAGTGCAAGCCCGTTATCTGGTCGAGACATGTGGAATAGCATGCAATTCAACGGTAAATGAACTAAACAGCATCTGCTGTCAGCCTGACACATCTAAGTACACTGACTACTAGTTCTTGACCAGTGATTGCTCCTTTATATTCGGTCCCATATATCGGATATATCGCGAGGAAACTAAGAGACGCAAATCTACAATTGGATTTCTGACGTCACTGAGGCGTTAAATCAAATGGGATCGACGCCAAATTTGGACACAAGTTCGGATAGCTAGAAATACGTGTGCAAAGTTTCACTTCTCTATCTCTTCGTGTTGCGACAATATCGTCGGAGAAGTAATTGAGGGGAACTAGTTCCCCCTCCCTCAGCCGGCCGGCGGGAGGTGCGGAACTGCGGAGGCCAGCGGCCGCCGGGTTGGACAATTGCATTGACAGCTGTGAGCAAATAGAAATTCAAACTATTCCACACTGTTATATTCATAGTGGAATAGCTATGATGTTAAACTATTCCGCTGTGAAATCATCGCTCTATCCCAGATCACCAGCCAGCCCGCGATCGTTTGACCCGCCAAATGAACCCCAATGATGGCATCGGGCCAGATGCTAATGACCCAGCGGTGGTGAGACCATGTCACTGTGTTTTGCCCACCGTCCCAAGGTCTAACGATCGTTCGCTCCATTTGGCAGAGCGCCTAGACCAGACAGAAATCAGTCTCGTGACTTTTTGTGCCGGGCGAGTGAGCAGTTGATGGTTGGAACAGGGCGGTAACGAAGCCACTGAAGGGCGAGAAACAAGCCAATTGAGAATATTGATTTCGTTGTTTTTGGTCTAGGTGAGGGAGTTGAGCTTGATGTCCGTTGTTACTGACGACGAAATCGAACTGAAATTGAGCATGTCGAAAAACAACTGGCGAAATGCACCTCAATGCATAACACCATCAGTGGGAAATTGGTTCAAAGCCGAACAAAACGCCGAAGATGATTGGAGTAAAGTGGGCGAAAATTGCTAGCACTGGAAAAAAACCATTTATACCTACATCCTTCTTCCATTAACAAACGCTCTATGGCCATGACAAAAACGGCACATTTAGAATATCCTGGTTATCACGGTAGTCACACGGTGGGTTTCACGATAGTCACAAATAAAGGAGCCGGGTCGCGCGTTTGATCGGTCTCACTGCCGCGGCGATCGCTGTCAGACACAACAGCTGAGAGCGCGTATCGCTCGCATTGATTCGCCATTTTGTATGTATTCTGGACTACCACATCTTTTTTTGGCAGCAAATGTAAACTGGTTCACATTTGAAGAGGCACTATTTTACATTTAATGTGCATCGCATTTCCATGCTTACGTATTTGCTATAAAATCTCAGAATTTCAGCCCACTTTTGGATCATAATTCTTGACCTGTGTGTGTTTGAATCTGGTTGGACTTTTGATTGTGTATCACTCATTTAGTTTCCTCATGTAAAATCTCTCGTAGCATTGTCAACTGATGATTTCATTACTAGGCAGTAATATTGGCACTGCGAGCCCAATGCGAGCGTCGTAGTTGCTTGCCCGGAGGCGAAGAAACTTTGAATTGTCCAGCTGCGATTGAGCAGTATATTGGAAAAGTCCTGACTGCTGGTATTCATATAAAGGCGGGAGACGCCGAGGGATGGCGCGCTTATGGTCGCCATATTGCATTTACCGCATACTTTATCAATCACTTAGGTATTTGAAGGTCACACATATGATCTTGTCATTCATATCTAACTGAAGGTTGTCAGAATTGCACGTATCATTGGGGAGTGGGGAAACAAGACGAATCTAAATCTAAACGGCAGCATGTGGTGTAGACTTGTAGACGGCAGCAACCTTCTGTAGACTTGCACACTATGAGACATCATCATCGCAACCATGGTAAAAAAATTGCTTCTCTTGGCAAAAGCCGACGCTTTGTGTGCCTGCCCTTTTAGTCGGAACAGGCACATAAGCATTTGTTGAACATAATATGTCTCCAGCTCCGAATATTTTGTCGAGAACTTACATCAATGTACTGAGGTTTTGCTCCGTAGCTAAGATGTCGGCATCCCAAGTCCGTCATTAGCGGGCCGTATTTTTCTTCGGAATCGAGCCTCAGTATGACCTTGTTGACGAAGCCCATTACCCTGCAAAAATAAAGATCGGTGCGCGTTAGTTTTGTAGAATGAGTCGTTGTTAGTCCCTAAAAACTCCTGATTGATTCTTATAGCTTATTAGACCGTAGCATTGGCTAAATTTCATGTCATTACCCAAAACAAACATCCAACTGTTTCCTCGAATTGATTACGGAATGGCAGTGTCTGCGAATGAATGAATGTCAATGACTTAAAAACATGGATGCTACATTTCAGTGCATCGTTCATGTTACCGAAGCATTGCAACTGCTGTAATCATTATTAGTAAGCAATATTACGTATTTTGTAATATCCAATATTGAGGCTGGGATGGCTTGAATTCTCGTCTACATAAGGTGAATATTTTTGATTTATCAGGGAAGTTCAGACGATAGATGCAGGTTATTGGTAAAATCGTAATATTTGATCTTACTGACTTCATACGTCCTTGGAAAGCAATAAGTACCCTGGCAGCGATTTGCGATAGGTATTTGACTCTCAGTTGCTGCAAAGCCAAAGGTTCTGGCTAAGAAGCTTGTGAAAAGCTAAAATACACCTTGCACTGCGAATATATGTCGAAGGAATGCATGTTTTGCCACAATGCAACTGATGATAATGTCTTCTTCCGATCTCTGAATCTCAAAGCATATTGAGCGAATGAGCATTGAGTGCAATGTCTTTTCATCCGTAAGTGCACAGATTGTAATAAAACATATCATCAAAGGCTTCGTCTGAAAGCCTTCTGCCTCTCCTTTCACTTGAAAGTCACTGCAACGCTAGTCTAGAAGGTCCGTTTTTACTTAAATCTAGTCTAAAGACTTGAATGATATTGGGACTTGAAAGGGCGATGCCGTTATGAGCCGATGACGTCAACAGATCGGCGTCACAACCTGGATGGCACAAATTACAATTGCTGACATGATGGAGAAAAAGCCACAGCAGTTAACTGAATTAAAACTCGTTGATGAAAGCTTCTCAAAAGTATTGCACTGTGTCCAAGACACAGTGCAATACTTTAGCCGTTAAATTATTGCCGTGACTGGTGCTCAAGAGCGAATTTTGCTCGATGAAGGATTCAGATAGCGAGACGTCACCGATCTCGTATATTCTTTCAGGCACTGCAAACGCTTCTACAGGGTCTTTCATAATGAATGTTACTTTTGAAAGAGCTATTTCTCAGGACATATATGTTCCTCATGTAATATGTACCATCACATGAAACAGAAACACATTAGCGTTTTTGCACACACAACTTTCATTTTAATGCTCCCCAGGAATTTTCCACTGTATCGCCCTTAATTAAGGCACACGTTTCGGCCCTCTGACGAAGGTGTTGCACCCCGCGCCTCACAACGTCTGGGTCCAGGCTTCCAGTAAACCTCTCCACTGTGGTTCGCAGTGGATGGCTGCAGGAGGGTTTTGTCTCAGATCTGCCAATGCGACTCCCCAAAGCCAGTAGTCCAGCGGGGAGAGGTCAGGACTCAGTGGTGGCCATGGTCGCTCGGTGAGGCGGCTGATAACGCGCTCTTCGAGATTCTCGATCAGCCACTGGCGCAACAGCTGCCATGGTGTGCACTGTGGCACCATCCTGCTGGAACCACAGGCCGTCTCTTTGAACCTTGTCCCTGACCTGAGGCAGAAGCATTCCTTGAGCAGCCTGAGGTAAGCCACCCCGTTCAGTGTTGACCCAGGGGAGAGCCAATGGATGAAGACTTGTCCGTCGACCGTAATCCGTAATGCGTTTTAGTGGTGTCGACATACTCTGCTTTTCCGTGAAGGAAAATTGGCGTTGTGAATTTTTTTATTTTTTGGGACAAAACCCTAATCAATTTGCAACAATACGCATATAAAATTCACGCGGAAGTGATAAATTAAGAGCTCCTAACTAAATGTTCAAAAGTAACATTCATTATGAAAGACCCTGTAGAATATCACTTGTTAGATAGCAATTATTAGATTTCACAATTATTGTATTTCACACATATGTCTCCAAGGTATATTGTATTCATCTCATGAGGAAACTTTCATGCAAAAAGTTTATTGCCCATGCGGAGCATTATTTATCAATTGGGCACCAGCTGACTGTAGCAGAGGCCCATATTTCAGCCCTGGTGAATAACCACTGACATGAGCGCCAATCGAGTGCAAACTATGGGCATTATGTTGGCCAAGTTGGTCTCCAGCACGAAATAGAAGTGTCATGTTCGGAACTTTAATCGCGAGCTAGGGAACAGCGAAGTTCTCAGCAGAGGATGCCGAAAATCGTTCCAGCTTGATCAGTTTCCGGCAGCGCGATTAACGCTACATTTCACTACATGACGCGCTTATGTGAGTATTTTATTGAGAAATATGCTTTGGAGCTATAAGTAAGCATATTCAAAATTTCAACATCAAACTATGTATGAAAATGCGTTTGTTGAAACTCTGTATATTTGTGTACTTAGTAATTTATCAAGCTCACTGTACAGTAGCATATTTTTTTATTACGCATGTGCTGTTTCAAAAGAATTGGTTCCATGTACACAATGCTGAAATTATATCTGTCTATAATTTACTAAACAAAGTGATGATAGCATTCTCATCGCAAGATTACAAAATTCAAAAGCGTTCTGAAATTCTGAACACCTCAGAAACACTTTTTCTTCATCAAATGTTTTTCTTTCGTCTCGAAATTATCAAGTCACAAAAATCAACCCTAAAAGCCTATTCAAGACGCATTTCTATTGGACATGCTTAGAATCGTGCTACGCACAAGATAGCAATACTGGACCACTCCGCCCTGTTTAGGTTTGATTAGATTTGCATTTCAAAACGAACCATTTTCACTGATAGCCAATGAATAATTACAAGTACAGCATTCACGCCGCACCCCAAAACATTCATCGGAAGCTGGATTAAGCGTATTATTTGTATCGTTTTATAGTTGGCGCACATTGATTTCACCAGATTTCATAGACGATCAATTTCATCAAATTTGTTTACTATTTCACAGACTCATAGCTCATATTTGCCCATCCCTACAGCTCCACAGTGATAGACGACGTCTCAGGAATTATGTCTGAACTATAGTTCGTTTTTTTTTTTCAAAAGGACGCTGGTCGCTGGCTCAAAGTTCAATATCGAATCTCTCACGTGAGTTTTGGCAGCTTCAGTCTTCAGTGTCTGGCGAAAAATTTCTTACCGAAAAATAACCGATTTCAAATTGTGCACGGTAAGTAGCTGGAAATTGTTTCTTGAAAATGAACATATTATGATGACGTCACTGGTGGCAGCAGGCACCCAAATGTCCGTGCAATGGTACAAGTGTCAACGAATTTGGGTGAAACTTAGTTTTTCACTGTTGCCGAGCATATAATCGAGTAAGCAGTTCTGTCCATGATAGTTATAAGTTACATTGCAATACATGTTCGACAGTATGACGTCACCACTGTTCTCATATATGGTTCCAAAACGCACATATGGAAATCATCGGGAAGAAATCACATGTTAAAATTAGTCGACGTTCGATTTTCTCAGGTTCAGTTTTTGCTCGTTTTGCTCGCTAAAACACGTGCTTGTTCCAAAAACATACTTGGAGCCAGCGTCCTTTTGAAAAAAACGAACTATAAGTAATAAATTGCACGGCGTATAGCATTAACGTTACATCGTCGGTGTTCAAAACTTATTTTGAAAATATCATTAATATCTCCAATACAAAGTGCGCCAACCAGTTTTCTCAGTAATTCAGCTAGCAATTCTCGTGCTGTGTTCAAAAAGACGTTTACAGTGAGGGCCAAAGTTTAAAAAAAAACGAGCTATAATTATTGGTCTCATCAGTTCCCAGTATAGGTACATACGCCACACAAACGTCACACGTTTTATACAAATCATCATATTTTTCAAAAACTAAGCATCCCCGCTAGCACAAGGCTATAGGGGAAGAAGGACAAATCATCATCCATTATAGATGTCTGTACAATCGTACATTTTCCCAAGTCTCGCCCCGTCCCCATGCATTACCTCCATCGTTGTATTGCTAATTACGCTCACGGCGGGATGTACGACATGTGGAACGACTATGATGAAAAGCCGGCAGTGCGCCACGACGACTAACATCATACATCTACCGGTGTTCCGACAGAACACATAGAGCGTAAGACGTAAGATCGATGGCGGAGCAGCTGTGAGTATTCCGCGTGTTACCGATACCCTGGGAGAAAAGCCACGTGATGAGTGACGTCACCTAGGCTGTGGGTAGGTGTCTGTGTGCGTGTGAGCAACGAATAACGAGACATGCCCAAGGTGACATATGGGTGCTGCTCTAGAAACTATTGATGAAAAGTCATATGTGTCTTGAACAAAGGCCCGACTTTGAGCCATCAAAGACCAGTTGGGTGATGGAGCGAAAATACTGAAAACATGTGAACCATCAAAGATAGACCGGTTTAATTTTACGAAAGGAGGGTGCTAAATTATAGGAACGATGGATTGCGTTAGTTAAACGGAGCGTTCAAAGGCTAACAAATCGTTGGCGATCATGTTTTCTGGAGCCCAATTTCGACGAAAGAAATGCGTGCGCTTCGCTGCACGCATGCGATGAATCCAGTAAGAGGGGAAGGCACCGATAAAAGCATTCGCAATGCGCGTGGTAGGCATTCAACCCACCACACGTGGCGCCTATAAATTTCGGTAGAAGGTGCACAGGGAAAAGAGATCACTTATTTTCGGTGCCATCATTTATTCCCGGGCCACTCCATGTCAACCGGGACAGCCAAAATCGGTCACCTCTGCAATTTTGTTTTAAGTTGGTATACTTATTGGCTATTGGGTGAAACCTCTGAGGGTGAAAGGATTTTGTCATATGCCCTCGGGCTACGGAGATACAAGTCGCTAAACTTCTGCTTTTTGAGCAGAATTGGACGTGTATTGCAATCTTGAAAGATCTATAGCTTCAACATTTTTGAAGCTATTAATTTGAAACAAACTGAAACGTGTACATTAGGAGTTATGCTAGTAAAATTTGACAATTTTTA